TCCCCCCCATGAATGTCTATGCCTCATTTCCTTCCCACCTCCAAAACTTGTATGAATAGTTGTTCATTTTTAACATTTTTTTTTTTAAGGCTAATGATGCTAAACAATGCTTCTTAGTACTTCCTAATAATATAAATGGAAATGAGGCTTTACAGGGAGTCTAGCTCAAGGGGAAAACTGGCTAGACTTTCATAATCGGGCATTGCAGTTGAGCACATACATAGAGTACAGATGCCCACTGTCTCGTGGATAATATCTGATTACATATATTTAAACAAGCATAAAAGCCACCAGCTGTTAAAATGAAGATTTGAAGGATTTTTTATTTTTTTTTTTCTGGATACTGCAGGTGAGTCATCTGATACCCTCTGCCACAAACCAGAGTCAGTAAAGCATTTCCAGGTTGTCCTTCATTTGCAGAATGAGGGCAGGAACATACGAGGCAGTGATGGGTTTTTCTTATCTACAGATTCACTTGCACTGCCTGGTTTGCTTGATTTTTGTTGTTGCCAGTCTTCGGTTCCCTTTCTTAGCACTGCGGCTGGGTTTTGCTGAATTAAAGTTCCATCAAAACATAATCACACTGGTAAAAACAATACTCATACTTAGTTTCTCTTAGAACAGGACTGGTTTTAACTCCTGGCCCATGCATCGTCCTCATTTTTGCTTTTGACTCTTTATTTCTCTGCAGGCTGGAATGGAATTGAATCCCCTAGGTATTTAGGGTAACTGAAATACGTACTTATTTCAGGCTTAAATGTTTTCTTGGATAAGCATCAATTTAGATTTGCATACAAGATTAAATTCTTTACCCCTTCAGATTAAAAACAAACAAAAAAACCCCCAGAGCTTTGGTAGAAGAGCTCACCTATTTCATACTAATATCAGAGCAAATTTATCTTTTTAAAAGTCTCTGCTTCAGGCTTTTGTGAACTCCGTTGTTGTGCCTGGAGCTCTGGGGGCAGCCCTTGGCCCTCTTGAAGGTCTGCGGAGTGCAGTGCTTTTGCATCAAGATTTAATTGCGTTGCTGCTGGATCCCTCTGCCTGGTGAGATTTGTGTTGTTTTGGTTTCTCAGGCATGACACTTAAATGATTAATCCATGTTTTCACATCCCAACACACGTGATTTATTGCAGTAAGCTTGCAGGTCTACAAGCTCTGCTTCCCTCTTCATATCTCTCCTGGCACCTATATTCTGCTGTGTTTACTTTTCTTCCCCTTTACCCCCACTATAAAATATTATTTGTGCTGTATGTAGATGAAATCAAGACAGATCTCTTAGTTCCTGCACACTCTGTTACAGAGGCTGCAGAACTGCGAAAACTTACTTTGCTGATATCAAATCTGGACTTTGACTCTTAAGGTGAAAGGTGATGAGCCCAAGTTGTTGATTTAGGCAGTCTAGTTGTGATGCTCCAAATCTTTTCTGTTTTACTTTTGGGAATAATTCTCTCTGTTCCCAGTTTTTTAGTGCTGGAATATCACTGGCTTCCAGAAAAGCGGTTCATTTTTAAGATTAGCTTTTGCTGATGCAAAAGGCCTTATGCAGTTTTTCTCTTAAATTCTTCTGAGTGTGCAGTTTATTCCAGGATTTGAGACTAAATCTCTATTTACGCGTAGCCTGTACATTTTGAATGTAGTTTTATTCCTGTTTTCATGTTCAGATTTATCTCTCCTAAGGCAGGAAAGATATAAAGATCACGGCTGCATTAAATCAAAGAGACTCTTTCATTTTCTTGCCTGTTCTTCAGCTTAATTTTATTTACTCTGTGTAATTTTTGAGGGATAGCATTTGTGATTATTAACGGCAAGTAAAGAGCACACTGGAAACTTGAGCAGTCCAATGAGGAGGAGATTTTTTTCTTGGTGAATAGATTAGACAATAGGCTTATCTCATGCTGGCAAATACGAGATACTCCTTTAGAAGGCCTTGTCTGTAGTCAGGGAGATGTCCTTTTGAGCCTGCATTCAAAAGCTTTACTCAAAACCACTTGTGTGCCAAGGCTTAAATTTGTGTTTCAAAGGTATGTCTTGATTCATATACTGCTAGATTCAAGAGGAGCCT